CTCGCCTTTACTCTGCAGGGGATTTGGTCGACTACCCACTGCCACTGAGGACGATCATGGAGGCTGGAATGGCCCATTCCCGATGATCCGTAACGTGCCTGAAAGAGGACATATTGCTGTCAAGGCAGGATCTCGTGAGGTAATTGTGATGTATCCTGATGCTCGTCACACACTATACATTGAATGTCTCCTCACACGGGAACTTGGCATGGATAATATGGCCATGCAAACCGTCCTTACATATGCGGCACACCTCGGCGCAGGGAAACCTGCCAAAGTTTTCGGCTACATCCCAGATTACAAGGGAAACCTCAATCTTTCAGACGACAGCAAGTTTCACCCGTGCGTGCACTTAGCACTACAGTATCTCGTGCGAAATTATATCCGAGTAGAACATGTAGTAGCAGTTAGGCTGGCCAAAAGTGTGTCAACCCTACCTGCAGTAAAGTACGCCACGGGGTCTACGCTGATCCACTACGACAACGATATCAGCCCAGCCTTCCACTACTATGAGTGTGTGGGCACTGGCCTGAACATTTCTCAAATCACTGGTAGCACTCATTCCAGACTTATCCAATGCTTGATTTCACGTGTCCCCTCCTTAGGATTTCACGACGATTTGGCCAAATATCAGCATTCAAGCACCACGTCTGGAGAACACGATTCGCTTGGAAACAGGCCTCCACCAGACACCCCAGGTGCTTCATCGCCGAGTGAAGGCCGTCTGTCGACAATCTATGAAGAAAACGAGGAACATAATATCGAAGCTATGATACTGGAAGAGTGGTACGACGAGTTACGTATGGACCTTCATCCCACGACAACTACCGACGATTATCTTTACTGCGTCCCAACAACCATGCTGCCCGACCAATGTGTTTTGGTTTCAGCATCTGTGGACGAAGAAGATATCGCATTGTCGGAATCGCTCGGAGACGTGCCTGATCCACGAGAGTCCTGTCTAGTCTCTCTCTGCTCAACCACACCTGATGAGAGCTACTCTCTCGACAGTGATGAATATGGTCCCTATGTTGAGTTATGTTTCACATCAGAAATGTCAAAGGTAGTGTTGGATCAGACTCAACTTGCTCAGCTCGAGACCGATATGGTCGCAACGATGAGAGCATATGTATCATCTGCTGCTAAACGTGCTGTGGTAGTCAAGGAAGACGACCTACTCACCAAAGCCGATATAGCAGCACACCCAAAAGAGGTTAGTGAAGCTTTATACACTGAACTCAAAATCTGGATTGATAACCGATGCTTTGAGATGTATGATTTATCCAAAGCTTCCAACATCATGACATCCAGGTATGTATATAAGTGGAAGTTTGTGAAGGTGGGTACCGAGAACGTTAAAACCATTCGTCTCAGACATGTCCTTCGTGGATTTATGGACACTGAGGCTTTCGATGTGGAAACTTTCTCCGGAACCGCCCGAAGGCAGTCCCAGAGGCTCCTGGCAAGTGAGGCGGCATGCCATCCGGAGTGGATCTTAGCATCCATGGATATCGATAAGGCGTTCCTCAAGGGTCTGACCTACGAGGAACTTGCCCATGCCACCGGCGAGGAAACTCGCATGGTTTGCTTCGCCCTTCCACCGGGAAGTGCTCAGGTACTTCGTCCACTACCCGGCTTTTCATCCTATGATGAAAGCCGACACTGCCTCAGGTGCCTCAAACCAGGAACGGGTACAAAGGACGCTCCAAGAGCGTTCTCTCTCAAACTTCGTACGACCACACGATCTATAGGCCTTGCACCGACCAGTTATGATCCTGAATTTAAATTCAGCCAAGATTTGCTAACGGCAAAACATGTCGATGATATTAACATGACAGGCCTAGAGAAAAATATGGACGACTATGCACAACGCGTCGAAAAAGTGTTTGGCACATGCAAGCTTAACAAACACTCATATACGAACTGCGCCGTTCGCTACACCTAGAATGACCAGGGGGACGTGATCATGGACCAGGGCGAATATATCAAACAACTTCGTCCTATCACACACCCAGAACTTACAGGAGCGGCGGCCGATGCCAAAGCCACGAAACTTATTACCGACACGTTCGTCAGCTTGCGAGGAGCCCTCGCCCATGCCCTTCTTATTCAAACCTGGCTCATGGTATACGTGGTCTCTCTCCAGAAAATCCAAGAGCCCACCAACCTACGAGTCAGACGACTTAATGCTGCGAAGCGAAAGTTGATCAGCAGCCCGAAACGCATCACCTTCCCTCGGATGAAGCCGACGAATGAAGTTGACATACACAGCGATTCGGGGTATCGGAAGCTCACCGGGGAGGAGGATGATGAGACTAAGGGCTACGGCATACGCGGGGCCAATGTACTACGGCGAGGAAACTCGCCTCAAGGCAAATCCGTCGTTCACCTCTGCGACGGACTGTGCAAATCACACCGACTGCAGGAGAGATCCAGCTATGCTGCGGAGGCACTCGCAGCTGCGCATAACCTCGATGAGTGTTACCCTACGCTCATCACTCTCCACGAGCTCAAGGCAGGAGCTCTGGCTCCAGGACAACTACGAGATATGCGTGAAGTTGGAGGCCGAGCCATTAAAGTATCTCTTACCATAGACGCTGAGTCCGTTTATACATCATTATCAAGCAAGGATCTTAAGATACCGACAGAACGGACTCTGCTTGGACATAGCAGTTGGATGCGTGAGCTCATGGATATAGGTATAGTACATACAACGTGCAGTGGTGTGATACTAGGGATATGACCGCAGATGGGCATACAAAGGGAAGCATCGATCGGGAGCTGCTTTTGGAAGTGATGTCAGGCACTCAGTCATTCAAGTATGACGCGGAGCAGTTTGTTCCCTTTCGGGGTCCCGAGGACAGAAACAAACCCAAATCTAATCAATTTTAATATGTCCTTGTTGCCCCCCGCGGTCCAATTTGCCAGCATGGGCGCCTACTACAGAGGCGCCCTTCTAGTTGCTCGGAAACGAGCCTTACATTTCACGCCTGGCAACGAGCCGGCTTTATATGATTCAGGCTCTCTGCCTTAATACCTATTTGCTCGGTGAGGTATGGCCCGTTTGGCTTACCTCTAGCTGAGCCGATAGCCCTTCATCGCTCGAAGGGGCTATCTTGTATTTGCGTGAAATGCTTTGCGAGGAGACTCGCCTTACAGTCTGGTGTTAGGCCAGACTGTACACACTGTTTTCTTTCTTGCAAGCAGTTGTGCGCGCGGCCTTTGTAGAGCCTAACGGCTGCGCGGCTATGCTCTCCGTCTCCTCCCCTCCCGACTTTAAGGGTAGCTCTTTGGGAGATGTTATAGTATCGGGAGCATAGCTCGCGCGCCGTTGCCTTTGGCTCAAGGCACGCGCGCCCTATTTGCCCGGATACCTGATGGTATTCGCTATTTGCACGGACATCTTACCTTAGTGTCCGCCATGTGCTGGAAAGACCGATACATCGATCTTATCCTATCATACCCATCCTCTCCCCATATCGTGTTCCTGCGACATGGAAGTGGATGCTATGTGAGCTCATCCGCCTCCCATGGAGACGGATGCTATTTGACCTACCAGGCTCACTTTCTACTCCAGGAGACCACCAACGTGGGCGACGGTTTCACAACTCGCAGCCCCCCCCCCCCGAAGGCGAGGTCTAGGTTGAACCCGCGTAGGGCATCACGCGCAAGACACCAACCCGCTGGCCCTCTCAGGAACAGGCGATCGTCACGATATCTGCGCTGTTCACAGCCCCCAGTAATGCGACGTTTGGTTTAGATTTGCGTCGGACGCCATTGCATCGGCCCTCCCAGGAGCGCACAAAAGTGGGTGGCAGTTTCGCAACTCGCAGCCCAGAAAGGAGGTTGAGGTATAATTCAAATCCACGTAAGGCATCACTGCGGTGACCACCCCTGGAGCCCACGAAGGTGGTGCCAGTTTCGCATTACTTCTGGTCCGCGTAAGGCGTGAATGCGCTGGGCCTCCGATCAGCACACGGGAGCGGCGACGGCTTCACAGTTTGCAGCCGCGAGGCAATGCAAGGTCGAGTCCTGATCCGCGTGCGACGTCACTGCGCTTGCACTCTCAGGAACACGCGAGAACGGCGACCGTTTCGCAGCCGCGCAGGGACGGCGAGGACCCGCTTGATCGGCGTGTGCCACTGCATTGCGTTCCCCTCCCACGAGCTCACGAAATTCGCGACAGCTTCGCAGGTCCCAGCCCCGCAGTGAAGGCAGGATCCCGCTTGATCTGGGTAGGACAGCCTTGCGTTCCTCCTCGCAGGAGGTCGCGCACGTCGCGACAGTTTCGCTGTTCTCGGTCCCTTCAGGGAAGGCGAGATCATGCTTATTCCGTGAAGAGCGTAGTTGCGTTGGACCTCCCAGTAGCTGACCAAAGTGGCGAGAGTTTCGCAGTTCGCGGCCCTACAGGGACGGCGAGATATCGCTTGACCCGCGTAGGACGTCATTGTGCTGGCCCTACCAGGAGACCACGAGAGTGGTGACAGTTTCGCAGTTCATAGCCCCGCAAGGTCGGCGAAGACGAGGTCCCGTTTGATCCCGCGTATAGCGTCATTGCGCTGGGCCTCCCAGGAGCGCACGAAAGTGGCGACGGTTTCGCAGTTCTCAGCCCCGCAGGGACGGCGAGATCCCGTTTGATCCCGTAGGACGTCATTGCGCTGGCCCTCCCATGGGCACGAAATTGGCGACAGTTTCGCAGTTCGTAGCCCATAGGGACAGCGAGGAGCTGAGAGGCAGGAGGAGGCGGGATGAGTAAGGAGACAGCAGTGCTCTATTCAAACCGGGAACCCAAACCAGGAGGGTGGGGATAAACGGCGTTAGAGACATGTTCGGAGGTCCGCCAGGGTTCCTCGGATGTGCGCTGGATCCCCCCCTGGCAGCGCCTCTGGCGCCTCCCCTGGCGCGTTCCGCGCGCCAGGGAGGTGGGCCCAGCGCAGTTTCACTAGGTCCGCGCGGACCTCCAAGAGTTCGTGATCATGCGGCTTCGTCTTCCTCCTTAGGAGCCTTCGTGTGACGATCAGTGGCGTTACCTGCAGTGCGCGAAGGGCAAGGACTGGTGGCGAGCCGACAGGCAGGGCTGCGGCCCGCAGGGCCTCACGGCCTCGGTGATGTGCATGGTCATAGTCTGTATGTCTCCGCACATAGTGCCCGAGCTGAAGCCGATGCTACTGTTCGTAGCTCTCTGTGTGGCGGCATACCTCGCGGCGTCTGCAATGTACCTCAATGCGACCGAGCTCGGTTATTACACTTGGGGGGACTTACTGGCAGTTGTCGTGCTGCTCGGTGCCGCCACCGTGATAGCGGCCTACAGGAAGTACAAGATGGACGTACAGCAGCAGTACGCGGACTTGCTCTACCATGAAAAGTCTGATGCGACTAGAAAGCTCCTCGACTTGCTCCAGGATTTCCTTCCGGACCACATTATATCTCGAATGTTGAAGCTCCCGAGCGCCACCATCGCAGATCAGATCCCAAAGGCGTCCGTGCTGTTCCTAGTGATTTCAGACTTCGAGGGTCACATGAGACGGCAGACGCCGGATCAGCTCCTGGACTTTCTGAACACCCTATTCGGCAAGATCGACCGTATATGCTTCGACTGCCAGGTGACAAAGATCGAGACGGTGGGCGAGGAATACGTCGCTGCCGTCGGCGTGAAGCCAGAGGACTATGAAAACGGTGTTGAAAAGCACGAGGACGTTTTAATCCGCCTCATCGTGGCGGCGCTGGGCATATTCGATGTGCAGGAGGGCAAACCGGATGACGTCCTGACCAACGTCAAGTTCAGAATGGGCTTGCACACTGGCCCTGTCGTCGCCGGCGTGATCGGTCAGAAGCTGCCGAGATTCCGCCTGTTCGGCGACACGATGAACACCGCTGCCAGGATGATGCAGAAGGGGGTCGACGGCGAGCTCCAGTTCGGGGAGGAGACCCGGGCGTGCATGCCCAGCTGGGCGCAGTGCCGTTCGAGGGGAAAGGTCGATATGAAGGGAAAAGGCCAGGTGGACGTGTATCTTCTGGACAGGTCGGGCGGGGACTCTGAGAAGAAAGTCTGGGAGCAGATCCGCTCTTACGGACTCCGCAAGTCCAGGCGGTGCAGTTTGGACAGCATCATGTCGGTCGGCAGCCATGGTTCCCACGAGCGGCATCGCGCGGAGCCAGAGGATCTAGTGATTGGTGCCAACAGTACTTTCACGATGACCCGCTCGGACTCGAAGCTTGGACAGCTGCTGGCGTCTGGTGTCCGCGGCGGTCCGCTCGGCGGCGAGGAGGGCAACATCGATTGGCTACGAGAGTTCTACCACTTCCGCTTGGCGAGCCACCTGGGGCGGCGTTCGGATCGCCTAGCCATCGTGTTTATTGCGCTCACTGCGGTCGAGGCTCTTTCGGCAGAATTGCTGCAGCCTCACATGGGGGACTTATTTGGCGTGAGGCGAGTCTGGATGTTTCTGGCCTTGCGCGCAGTGGTGCTCGCGCTGATATTCCGGTGGCGCGTCTTCGCGCAGAACAAGGACTGGATCTTCATGGATCCGACGACGGCGGAGCTTTGGGGGTTGGCGCACGCGTGCGCTCTGCTGATTCTGCAATTTACAGCGTACGCCCTTCTCGCTGTGCCCCTCGTCGACGAGACCAGCATCGACTTGAGCGCCTCGCAGGCCAGGGCCAGGCTGCTGAGAGAGCCCCTCAGGACACCCCTGTGGAAGCTGATGTTTCTCCTGTGGTACGGGGTGAGCGTGATGGACATACAGCTGCGGCAGATGCCCACAGTCTACTTCGTGTCTTTCTCGTTCCTAGCGCCGCTCGTCCTTTCTGCTGCGTGTCCAGTGTTTCGCGGCCTCGCAAGCGCCGTGCAGCTTGTCAGCATGCTCATCATGGGCCTGGTGGGCATCCAGATTGCTGGCGCAGACGAGCATCACGATAGAGAGCGATACAATGCGGAGAAGCAACTCAAAGCCGCGCAGCAGCGCATGGACTCAATCTTGAGCCAGTTGGTCCCCCCCTTGGTGGCAAGCGAGCTGAGCAAACGGCAGGCCTCCCAGAGTGCGAACATTTTGCACCGTGGTTTGGGGTGTTCCCACTCTTACCCGCAAGCCACCATCGCCTGCTCGGACCTTGTGGGCTTCACGGCGCTGGCAAGCACGCGTACAGCCACGGAGGTCGTTGAGATGGTCAGCGACCTTTTTGGGCGCTTCGATCGGCTGAGTGACGTCTACAGAATCTGCAAGATAGAGACGGTCGGCGACGCCTACATTGCTGGCCAGGCGGTCCGACCGCTCACTTCGATCTATAAGCCCATCAGCGTGCTCATCTTCGCGGTCGAGATCATAGAAACCGTAAAGAGATGGTCGCGTGAGAGAGTCATCCCCCTCGATTGCCGGGTTGGCGTCCACACTGGTGCGTGCGTCGGCGGTGTCGTCGGCGTGGAGATGAAGCGGTACCCGAAGAAGACACAACGGCATGAACATAATTGTTTTGCAGCTCCGCGCAGATTTCTTGGATCTGCGCTGGGTTTCCCTGACTGGCGCGTGGATTGGCGCGCTCCGAGCGCCCACGAGGCCCAGTGTATGTATACCTAAGAAATCTGCGCAGAGCCCCGAACGTTTATGTTTACGCTGTCCCGCCTGCCCGAAGACCCTTAAGACATAGTCCTCGACCCCCTCGTGGGGTCCATGCTGACCTGTCTTTTGAGGCGGGTCCAGCCGTGGCGACGAGAGGCCTCTGGGAGGCCCGAAAGTGACGGAAGGTGCCAGGGAGGGCCGCCACTTTGTCTCGACTGGCACTCCTCCGAGGTACCACCTCTTCGGCCACCTGCTGTCGGCACTGGAGCTGCTGGAGGCCACCGCCCCGACGGGACAGGTCCACCTGAGCGGCGCGTGCCAGCGGGCCGCGGAGGCGCAGGCCGCCGCGGAGGGGCTCTGCGACGACGCCGTGGTCTGCTCCCCCAGGGCGGATCCCGTCCTCACCACGTCGAAGGGGGACCCGGTGCTCCGGGGAGTGCCGGCCGAGTTGAGACAGCAGCAGTCTGCCTTCGGCGGGCCCCCCGGCTGCCGCTCGGAAAACTGGTTCGTTTGGACTTGCCGAGGAGGAGGAGGAGGAGGAGGAAGAGGAGGAGGAGGAGGAGGAGGAGGAGGAGGGGGAGAAGGAGGAGGAGGAGGAGGAGGAGGACTGGTTCGTTTGGACTTCGGGGGGGGGCCCGGGGACCGCTTTGGAGCTGCCGTTGTCCCAGCCCGCCCTGCTCCGAACCATGCCGATACACCGAGGCTCTTGCATCGGCACCTGGGCCTTTTGTTTGTTTCACAACGGGCGTTTTTTTGGCCCAGCTCCTGGGCCCGAGGACCCTCATAGATCGACCCGGTCAGAGAGATGCCGCGAGAAGATCGAGGCATCTGCCCCCTTTTGTTTGTTTCACAACGGGCGTTTTCGCCAGCTCCTGGGCCCGAGGACCCTCACAGATCGACCCGGTCAGAGAAGTGCCGCGAGAGGACAGAGTCTAAAAGCCCCCGGTTGTGATTTGTTGACGGTGTTTTTTTTTTTTCTAGTTCGCGACACTGGAAAGCAGTTGGTGGTCCCCAAACGTGGTGGTGAGAACACCCGGTGGCGAGTTTTGGGCGATTGGGGTAATGGTTTTCGAGCGCTGGCTGGCCCAGGAAACGCAAAACCTCGTGGCGACCGCGTGTCCCAAAACCCGGATTATTTATTGGGGGAATCGGGGTCACCACCGGGTGTCGCACCACCTGGTTTGGAGACCACCAAAGCAGGAGGAGGAGGAGGAGGAAGAGGAGGAGGGGGAGGAGGAGGAGGAGGAGGAGGAGGAGGAGGAGGAGGAGGGGGAGGGGTCACCACCGGGTGTCTCACCACCTGGTCTGGAGAGCACCAAAGCAGGGGAGAAGAGAGCAGCCGATATCTCCGGGACGAACGCTGCGGCGCCGACATATGCCCGTCCCTCGTTTTCTTCGTGCTTTTGCTCTGGCATCCCTGGGGGGGGCCTCGTCGCCACGGGCTGGCTCCGAGCGTGAGAACGACAGTCGGGACGCGCGGGCGATCTTTCTGCCTGGGTAGTCGAAGGCCAGACTGTCAGATTGGATTGGGCCCCAAGGGCCAATCTGGCCCGGCCAAACTGGAGGATTTGGGTTATTCGCCAGACTGGATTCGCGCTGGCTCCCTCGCCAGATTACCCCCGTTTGCCAGATTGGGCCTGCCAGATTGGCGCCAGATTGGCTTCGACTACCCAGGAACGACAGTCGGGACGCGCGGGCGATCTTTCTGCACCCCAGGTGTCATACCAGGACATCGGGGGCGCGCCAACCTTTGTCGTGCAGCGCTGCAGCCCCGAGCTGTACGACCCCCTGGCCAAGACCGAGTTGGACAAGGTCGGCGGCGCCCCAAGAGGGAGGCGCGGAGGGGGGGCGGCCTTCTGAGAAGGCGGAGGCGCTTCGCAGAAGGCCCCCGCCCTGTCATAGGCCCCTCCGCCTTCTCCGAAGGCCGCCCCCCCTCGCGTCCACCCCCCCTTCGGGGCGCTGCCGAGAAGAAGACCGCCACCCCAGCCCGCACTCCCAGTGGGTCTGCCGCTGCCCCGCTCGGCGCCCGCGCTGTCAGCGGAGATCGCCTTCCCCAGCTGGGGAGCCGCCTGCCTCCGAGCGACCTGACCATGGGCAGCTGAGTTTCCTGGCGGGTCGAAGCCTTTGTGATCGGAGAAGGAGCTGTATAGACACTCGGTGTCGGAGGTCCGCGTGGACTTCTGAGATCGGCGCTATGGGCCTCCCGGGCGGCGCCTCAGGCGCCGCCCCCGGCATACTCCGTGCGCCCATGGAGTGCGGGAGCCCGGCGCCGTTCCAAGATTTTCGCGTGGGTCTCCGAAAGTGCAAGCCCGCATCGCTGGAGATCCGTCGAGCCCCTATGCCTTGATGAGATCCACGGCCCGTTATGCCATGTTGAGGCCAAAAGCGCGAACGAGTTGTGGAAGGTCATGGGGGAAGTGACCGCTCAACTTCCGCATGGCCCCGCGCCCGCGCGCAAGCCCCCCCAGGGCTACATTTACCCCCTCCACCTCAACCCACCAGGCACTTCCGGCGATGGCGTCTGTCCTTGATGGGCCGTGGATATTATCAACCGATACCCTATACCGATGCCGCTGCACCGCAGACCTCTCCCGATGCGCATTCTGACCAGAGTTCCGAGGACAACAAAAGTGTGGCGAAGAGAGCTCTCCAGGCTGCGCAGCTGTAGCTGCATTGGGATGATTCCAGTCTTGCCCGTACAGGGAATGACGTCTCCCCGTCTACTCCTAGCCTTGGCCCTGCTCTCGGGCCGAGCTGGGTGTTGAGCCGTGTTGCGGCTGATATCTGCAGAACGCCCTGGGTGTTCGCTTCCTCTTCTAGCAGGCGCCAGATGCCATTTCTGCACCTCCTCTGATCGGAGGAGGGCCTGCCGAGACACCCTGAGCTCCGGGCGTTTTCGGCAGGTGTCGAGCCTCAGGGCCATCACATGTTGCTCGACACGTGCCGAAGGAAGATGGGGTCTAGTGCTCTGGCAGTGTTTTTTTTGAAATGCGATTCTCGCTGTTGTCATGTGTCTGCAGCGAACATCGTTTTTCGATGGACTCTCCCGGGGGCTTCTCGCGGCCACGGCTGCGCCAGCTCCGAGGAACCAGCCGGGATGGGGTCCGGGAGGGGTCCCAGGACCGACTTTGCGCGGATTTGGACCTGGCGGGAGAGCCGCTGCTGTCTCAGTTGGCCCTCCTCCGACTTCCTGAGCGCTGGGCCTGCAGCTCAGATAAATGCGTCGCCCCTGTCGGGCTCGGACCTGATCCAAACGGCTGCGGAAAAGGTGCAAAACAGATTGGCCTGGCCTACTGTCAAGGTTTTACTGCCGCAAGCTGGTATATGGCGACGATGCCGCCTCAGAAATGCCCTGGATGCGAAATACTGAAATTGGTGAGTGCGCCACCAAGACTTGGCAAGGGTCTGGCATAGACGTCGCTCGCCAGCGAACCTTTGTTTCGTTGATTTTAAGTTGGCAGTGGCGTGCCAGTCGGAACAAACTAAGCGAAATAGACGAAAGTTGGAGCATGCTCGATTATTGTTGTGTTTGCTGCTGCCTTGCCTCCTGCGTATATCAGAGCTGGGCTGAACGCCTGTATCGTTTAACCTAATTATCCCCATCCCACCATTCCACCACCCCAGTTGGGGATACGCCCTCGACACCCTGCATCCCCATCCAGGCGAGTAAATCGGCCAGTGGGGCCAGGGAGGGAGGGGGACGCGGATCGCATAAACGATGCTCAGAAAATTCCTCGCTCACTGGGGCGGGGCCTAAATTCCATCACCTGCCCCCCGAGAGTTCTAGACTTCCTGGCCACGGCGCTCTGTTGGCCCACTGGCAGCCCCGCATAGGGGTGGAGGGCCCGTCGGCGCCGCAGCCGCCGCAGGCTCGTCCTGCGCCCCATCCGTTCCCTAATTGGCGGGCAGCCAGCGCCGACCTCATTTGAGATCCGGCGTCGCGAAACAATGAAAACATCGCGGAGCATTGCGATCAGGGAACAACATTGCGGTTGACATGCCCATGCCTTCCTCTCCTCCGCCGCCATTGTGGTTCACGAGGGCCCTTGAGGTCACCTGGCGCACAGGCGACGGGCGCGCCCTGGCCCCCGCGCAAGGAAAGAGAACGTGCTCTCTCACAGCACTGTCCCCCTACTTGTACTTCGCGTCTGTATATTCCATACAGCCACCCCCGTGCATTCCACAGTGGCAGCAGAACCCGCGGTTGCGATCCATGAGGGGAATCAGGCCGACCCCATTGTCACTCGACTCTCGGATGATATATTCCATCGTATTATCCTGTTCTTCCCGCTTCCAACCCTTGTGCACCGAGGGCCGCCATGGATACTCCAGACGACGCTCAGCCTCGTGAAGATGAACTTCCAGCGGGTCCTTGGTTACAACCAAGACAGGGTCCTCGGGCAGGAGGCGGAGGACAAGACGTTCCTTGGGATGGTGATGGCGATGCGGGCTAGTCAGATCACGACTGGGCCAGCTGGTCCACGACAGCCCAATACGCGGTCATCCTCATCAGGTTGGAACGCGCGGGGCCGTGGTCCGCCGGCTGCGCCAGCTTGGCTGAACACGCCCCTGCGGGGACAGGCTTCGTCTTTCACTCCGATCGCTCCGGCTTATTGGGAGATACCTTTGCCGGATCTTCTGATTGCCAGAAGGCGACTCTTTCCTGAACAACCGGAAGCCCCACATATACCAAACGACCCGCCTCCCATCTTGGAGGGAACTGGCCTGATCATCGTTTAGATCCGTACATGAAGGAGCAGCATGTGTGGCTCGCGACTACCAGATCCTTGAAGGCACAACGCGGGTATTTCTTTTATTGCTACGCCATGGATGACCTCAATATCATTTTTCCACGAACCCACCGGGAACCAACTGTTTTCGGAGGACGCAGCAGGTTGTGGTCAAACAGATGAAGAAGGCTTTCGCCGAGTCACAAGACCGCAGGCTGCCCAATGATGTTTGACACCCTTTTCTATTCTGGTGACACTCAGCGCAAGCGTGACGAATCCCTTTTCAATAAATACCTATACGTATACATGTATGTGTGTATCGCGCGCAAGCGAGTGCTCTTCCGAGAGCCCGAGAAGCACGTGATCCTGCCGGAGGGATTGAGATGGCACGCGTTTCTCGTAGAATCCAAGCTCAGTGGAGCCGCTTGGGATGCGGTCGGGCAGTGGACTGAGGAACCATCGGGTTTTGACACGACGTGCGAGAAGCTTCGGAAGCTCCAAGGACCACTACCTTCAGGTAGAGGCGGCCATCGCATCCATGGAATGAGCCCCGCCTCGCACTTCATCGGGCACCGAGGAGACGATGACGGATGCGAGGGCCAGGAGTCTGACCACGATGACTCCCTGTGGATTTTCATATAGCAGTCTCTGCTTGCGCGAGTCTTACGAGGAAGACGAGATCCTGACTGAGGCACTCAAGTACATGGGCGATGAAAGTGCGCACTTCGTAGCTGAGGACACGCCCAGGGATGTGATCTCGGATCGCGGCGAGGCTGTCGCCATCAACGTCAATTCCATTCAGGTTCAACCATATTCACACAACTGGAAGCTTGGACGAGGCCGCTTCGATTAGTTTCTCCCGAAAGGCGCCGCCCCTGGCGTGCTCCGCGCGCCCGCGGAGCGCGGGGGCCTGGCGCCGCTCCAAGATTTTCGCGCGGGCCCCCGAAAGTGCACGCCCACGTCGCTGGAGATCCGCCGAGCCCCTATGCCTTGATGAGATCCACGGCCCGCTTTGCCATGTTGAGGCCAAAAGCGCGAACGAGTTGCGGAAGGCCATGGGGGAAGTGACCGCTCAACTTCCGCATGGCCCCGCGCCCGCGCGTTAGGCCCCCCAGGGCTACATTCGCCCCCTCCACCTCAAACCCACTAGGCACTTCCGGCGATGGCGTCTGTCCTTGATGGGCCGTGGACATTATCAACCGATGCCCTATACCGATGCCGCTGCACCGCAGACCTCCCCCGACGCGCGTCCTGACCAGAGTTCCGAGGACGACCAAAGTGTGGCGAAGAGAGCTCTCCAGGCTGCGCAGCGGTACCCGCGTTGGGATGATTATAGTCTTGCCCGCACAGGGAATGACGTCTCCCCGTCTACTCCTAGCCTTGGCCCTGCTCTGGGGCCGAGCTGGGTGTTGAGCCGTGTTGCGGCTGATATCAGCAGAACGCCCTGGGTGTTCGTCTCCTCTTCTAGCAGGCGCCAGATGCCATTTCTGCACCTCCTCTGATCGGAGGAGGGCCTGCCGAGACACCCTGAGCTCCGGGCGTTTTCGGCAGGTGTCGAGCCTCAGGGCCATCACATGTTGCTCGACACGTGCCGAAGGAAGATGGGGTCTAGTGCTCTGGCAGTGTTTTTTTTTGGAAATGCGATTCTCGCTGTTGTCATGTGTCTGCAGCGAACATCGTTTTTCGATGGACTCTCCCGGGGGCTCGCGGCCACGGCTGCGCCAGCTCCGAGGAACCAGCCGGGATGGGGTCCGGGAGGGGTCCCAGGACCGACTTTGCGCGGATTTGGACCTGGCGGGAGAGCCGCTGCTGTCTCAGTTGGCCCTCCTCCGACTTCCTGAGCGCTGGGCCTGCAGCTCAGATAAATGCGTCGCCCCTGTCGGGCTCGGACCTGATCCAAACGGCCGCGGAAAAGGTGCAAAACAGATTGGCCTGGCCTACTGTCAAGGTTTTACTGCCGCAAGCTGGTATATGGCGACGATGCCGCCTCAGAAATGCCCTGGATGCGAAATACTGAAATTGGTGAGTGCGCCACCAAGACTTGGCAAGGGTCTGGCATAGACGTCGCTCGCCAGCGAACCTTTGTTTCGTTGATTTTAAGTTGGCAGTGGCGTGCCAGTCGGAACAAACTAAGCGAAATAGACGAAAGTAGGAGCATGTTCGATTATTGTTGTGTTTGCTGCTGCCTTGCCTCCTGCGTATATCAGAGCTGGGCTGAACGCCTGTATCGTTTAACCTAATTATCCCCATCCCACCATTCCACCACCCCAGTTGGGGATACGCCCTCGACACCCTGCATCCCCATCCAGGCGAGTAAATCGGCCAGTGGGGCCAGGGAGGGAGGGGGACGCGGATCGCATAAACGATGCTCAGAAAATTCCTCGCTCACTGGGGCGGGGCCTAAATTCCATCACCTGCCCCCCGAGAGTTCTAGACTTCCTGGCCACGGCGCTCTGTTGGCCCACTGGCAGCCCCGCATAGGGGTGGAGGGCCCGTCGGCGCCGCAGCCGCCGCAGGCTCGTCCTGCGCCCCATCCGTTCCCTAATTGGCGGGCAGCCAGCGCCGACCTCATTTGAGATCCGGCGTCGCGAAACAATGAAAACATCGCGGAGCATTGCGATCAGGGAACAACATTGCGGTTGACATGCCCATGCCTTCCTCTCCTCCGCCGCCATTGTGGTTCACGAGGGCCCTTGAGGTCACCTGGCGCACAGGCGACGGGCGCGCCCTGGCCCCCGCGCAAGGAAAGAGAACGTGCTCTCTCACAGCACTGTCCCCCTACTTGCACTTCGCGTCTGTATATTCCATACAGCCACCCCCGTGCATTCCACAGTGGCAGCAGAACCCGCGGTTGCGATCCATGAGGGGAATCAGGCCGACCCCATTGTCACTCGACTCTCGGATGATATATTCCATCGTATTATCCTGTTCTTCCCGCTTCCAACCCTTGTGCACCGAGGGCCGCCATGGATACTCCAGACGACGCTCAGCCTCGTGAAGATGAACTTCCAGCGGGTCCTTGGTTACAACCAAGACAGGGTCCTCGGGCAGGAGGCGGAGGACAAGACGTTCCTCGGGATGGTGATGGCGATGCGGGCTAGTAAGATCACGACTGTGCCAGCTGGTTCACGCAGCCTTGGACGGAGACACAGCCCAATACGCGATCATCTTCATCAGGTTGGAACGCGCGGGGCCGTGGTTCGCCGGCTGCGCCAGCTCGGCTGAACACGCCCCTGCGGGGACAGGCTTCGTCTTTCACTCCGATCGCGCCGACTTATTGGGAGATGCCCTTGCCGGATCTTCTGATTGCCAGAAGGGGATTTTTTCCCGAACAACCGGAAGCCCCAAATATACCAAACGACCCGCCTCCCACTTTGGAGGGAAATGGCTTGATCATCGTTTAGATCCGTACATGAAGGAGCAGCATATGTAGCTCGCGACTACCAGATCCTTGAAGGCACAACGCGGGTACTTCATTTACTCTTAATGACTTCAATATCATTTTCCACGAACCTACCGGGAACCAACTGTTGTCGGAGGCCGCAGCAGGTTGTGGTCAAACAGATGAAGAAGGCTTTCGCCGAGTCACAAGACCGCAGGCTGCCCAATGATGTTTTACAACCTCTGCTACTCTTGTGACACTCAGCGCAAGCGTGACGAATCCCTGTTCAATATATATATATATATATATATATATGTATATATATATATATGTATACACACAATTACATTTGTGTATATATATATGCATCGCCCGCGAGCGAGTGCTCTTCCGAGAACCCGAGAAGCACGCGATCCTGCCAGAGGGATTGAGATGGTACGTGTTTCGCATAGAACCCAAGCTCAGTGGATCCGCTTGGGGTGCGGTCGGGCAATGGACTGAGGAATCATCGGATTTTGACACGACGTGCGAGAAGCTTCGGAAGCTCCAAGGACCACGACCTTCAGGTAGAGGCGGCCATCGCATCCATGGAATGAGTCCCGCCTCGCACTTCATCGGGCACCAAGGAGACGAAGACGGATGCGAGGGCCAGGGGTCTGTCCACGATGACTCCCTGCGGATTTTCATATAGCAGCCTCTGCCTACCTTGCGCGGGCCCTACGAGGAAGACGAGATCCTGACTGAGGCACTCAAGTACATAGGCGATGAAAGCGTGCACTTCGTAGCTGGGGACACGCTCAGGGATGTGATTTCGGATCAAGACGAGGCTGTCGCCATCTACGTCACTTGCACTCAGGTTCAACCATATTCACACAACTGGAAGCGTGGACGAGGCCGCTTCAACTAGTTTCTCCCGAAAGGTAAGGCCAGGGGCTTCCGCAAGGGAAAACGCCGAGGGGAACGAACTGGACATGCTCGACCGAAGCTGTAGACCAAACGCAAATTGATGAGCCGCTCGAAGTGCGTCCGACGCGGGAAGACGCGGCGCTGGGCCCGGGACTGCACGAATGAGCCAGACGAGCGAGGACGTAGGCAGCAAGCAGGCTTCGGCGGTTTTCCAGGCTGTTTCAGTCGAAGCAGATGACGCTCAGCATGACGCTAGCCAACAGGAGCCTACGATCGTTGTTTTGCCGTGTCTCCCTTTGCTAGGGTTGATACTGGTGAGCAGATTTTCAGTGGACTTCAGGTTCAGATGCGTTTCGGTTCAGTGGAGACTGGAGCTCAGCATGGAGTATGCGATCAAGGTCAGCTTGAGACAAGAGCGGGGTATCTGGGATACACCTACGGCTCGAAGCCAGTGCACCTACCTACCGTTGAAATGGACGCCATGGGCGATGGATCTACCAAGTTCCTCTCCTGCGGGACCCTACCTGTTGCCATGGCGAAGAATTGCGGTGCTCCCGCGGTGCATCTGATTGCCTGCGACACGCTTTTATTTCTTCCAGTGGAGATGCCCAGACAGCGCGGCATGGTTCTTGCTCGGCATGGTTCTTGACGTGCCAGGTGGCGTCATCACCTGGAAGGCCCTCGACGGCAGTCAATTGGGGGTGTGCGAGTTTGGGGCGGGCAGACACATTGCGATCAATATCTTCGATATCCCCTTTAGTGTTCGGCAGAGAAAATAGAAAGTCAGAGGCGTCTCTCCGAAAATTCAAATCTATTGCCAGGTCGCCGAGCCTGAGGATGCCGCATTCTACGTGAATCCACAAGCGCCCTCGGCTCACACCAGTCTTTCTCAGCCAAGTGCCGCCTTCCCCAACGCCTTGCGCGACGTGGAATCGCGCGGAGCGCATCCTCGCCAGGATGGGGCCGCAGCCGGGTCCTCCATGCGCCGGCGTGCCCAGCCGGCCCGTGATGAGCACAGAATAGCGGGCGTGGACGTGGTGCCAAGCGTGCCTGAAGCTACTCGCCACCCTGGAGTGCGCGGCTATGAAGCGCCGCGCGGAAACACGCATCGGCGCGAACATCTGCACTAATTTGCCCGGGGACGCCAGGGGTCTGGACCTCGTTGTGGCCCAGACTCCTGGCGTGGATGCCGCAGCCTCGCGGTCGCCGCGAGGCTGCGCCATCCACGCCTCGCCCCCGTGATCCGAGGCCTTCCGCTCGGGGCCCCGAAATCTCGAGCGGAGAGCGGTTCGCGGCGGGCAGGAGGCTGGAGCAGGCGCGGGCGCCGCGAAGACCGAGCAGGCTGCGCGCAGGCGCCCCGAGGAGGCCATGCGCCATCGGGGCAACAACGAGACCCTCTGGTGGACGCGCGACGATTGCCAGATGCGCTGCACGAGGTGCCCCGTCGAGGTCTGCATCGGCGCGGGCAGACCAGTCCACCCGGAACAGGTGGCGTTCGGGATGCATGCGGGCTGCGCCTTCAAGGAGATCTACGAGAAGGACTTCCAGCGCCGCGGGCGGCGCATGAGGACTCGCGAGTCAAGCGAGCCGGTGACGCATCAAGGACTCGCACGTCTAGCAACGCACGCGCGGAACGCGAGATGCGCGAAACCATCATGGACGCGGACGGTTCCGAGGCGATCGTGGAGGAGACCGACATCCGATGGGTTCGCGGGCAGAAGATATCTTCGGCGGTCGCAGGGCATGCGTCCAAGTGCATCGCGAGCCCCGCGACAGGCTGTTTAGCCCAGCCGCTTCCGTCGGCTCACCTTCTGCATACGATTTTACGAACGAGCGGGTGGCACTGTCGCATATGCCGCGTTCAGGTACTGCCGCACGCAGAGGTTGTCTACTCAGATGGTACTACCGCATTCAGGATACTTGGTCTGGCGACATCTGTGACCGTACCTCGGCCAGTAGATGGACTGGCCGTGCCCTCTGTCACCGCGAGACTGCCGCTGAGTCGACGTTCTCTGGCGCTCTGCTAGCGAGCATCTGTCCTCAGAGCATCTGTCTCGGCCAGGTTGGGCAGCTCATCTCTCCAGATACTGCCGGCGTGGACCTGGCTGGTCCAGTATTTGGTAAGCGCGTGGCTGTGCTTCGAGGCGCGCCGCGCGGTTCGTGGCGGCCTGCCATTTTGCTGGGCTCGGTTGAAGCGGCCGAGGCTCGCGAAGGACAAAGGCGATTTATATTGTGGCAGGCCATCAGTGGAGCTTGCGCTTCATGCCCGCAGCTCAACGAGGACGGCATGGGCGCGATTTCCGACAGGTGAAACAGATCAAGCAGGCTTTCTCAGTGAACAATGCCAGTCTCAGTCTTCCTTTGGAAGCTGTTCCTGAAGAAGCGGTTCCTGTTGATGACCCCAGCGCCGAACCTGGTGGCCGCGATGAAGTACTTGCTCATGCCGAGTGGACACCTACTGCAGACCAGCTAACCGACCTCAAGCTTGCCCACAATAACTCTGGCCATCCCGGGAATCGAGATGTTGCTCGACTTCTGGGACGGGGCCGCGCTACGCCCTAAGTGGCAGGCCGGCTACTCAAACTCTCCAAATGCGACGAGTGCGATGCGCGCAAACGACCCTATGCTCGCCGCCCTGCTGCTGTTCCCAAGTGTTATCGAGCCAATGATGTTCTCAGCATTGATTGGTTTGACGTCAAGCGCCCACTTGATGACGCACCGCACTCGTGGATCGACATCGGCGCGTCTTTTCATGTTGGCGGACATGTGGGGACAGGGAAGTCATCAAAAGTAGCGCGGCAGGCATGTGCACGCACATGGGCACATGCGTTTAGCATGCCAGAGGTCGTTGTAGTTGTGGATCCTGGAACGGAGTTTCAGGGAACGACATGCAAAACAATTGTGGGTGTATATTTCCTACGGGCACCCGTTCTCCACGGCAACGGTCCAACGGAATACGTTTGAAAAGAGTGGACACGACAGCTCTGTTCAGCCGTTCAACTGTTAGACCCAGATAATCCAGCTGAGTGATATGCTGTGGGGGAATTGTGTTGCTCTGTCTGGAACCGTTGCAAGAGCCGGAGTGGCCTCTTGCCTATGCAATGGGTTCTCGGGTTTACACGACGTCCACAAGCGGCGTTGGTCCCCCATGATCCCATACATCCCGGGTGTTTGTCTACCGATCCGGCACAAGATATCCAAAGAGCTGGAGATTTACGATTTACGCCGAGCCGCCATGAAAGGCGGGACTGCCGCGGACTACTTCGCGTCTTCCGCGCACGACACCGTATACCACCAATTATGATTTAAGGCCAACTCGCACTTGCATGGAGAAGAACGAGTCTGCTCGTGAAAATGGTGTGAGCCTGGTGTGATTATCCTACCTACTGCTGGTGGGGCTTGGATCGACTTGCGTGGAGCGCTGTGGCGTTTGTCAACTGAACCGATGCGTAGTACCACGCAAGATGAATGTAGAGGCGTCGAGATGGCCAACCGTGATCCGCACGACCTCCAGCTTGACCTCGAGCGCACGCGTGGTGCTCGTCATTATGACGACGTCGCTAGAGAGGGCAACCCCATATCATTTGGAGATGCGCCTCTACGCGATCCTGAGGCAGAGGAAATTCTCGACGACTCAGACAGTGATGCTGATCGGGAACCGCAACCGCCAACGCCAGAAGAACCACCCATACAACCAATGCCGGAAAGCTGCGACGAACCTGGACTGGCACGCGCAGCACCCCAGAGTGACGCTCGACAAGCGCGGCCTCGTTTGGATGCCGCATCCACCGCTGAACCGCAGAGCGAGCCAGGCTCGAAGCAGCCCTCCATGGCGGAGGCGCCGGGGGGGGGGCCCAAGCGAAGCTGTGCGAGGCTCGGGCGCGCCCTGGCCCGCAAACCTCGCATTTGCTGCCGCCAGATGCGTGGGCAGTAGTCGTGATGTTCAGGTGGCAGATGATTTGTTGGGGGCCGAGACCCCCGACTCGGACAGCATCTACACGCGCCGTCAATCAGAAGCAGTCTACCTTGACACCTCGAGATCATCCCTCATCGAAAAGAAGCGGCTTGAGGACGAACTTGACATCAATCCGCTACCTGACCATCTCGAGCAGCGGCGTCTTGGACCTAGTGGCAGGTCGCAAGGAGTGTCTGATATATGCGCAGCTGGACCCGGCGGCACCAAGGCAGCACGCGCGCGCAGAGGAGTGGCCGCTGCAGAAGTCTACCGCGAATTGCCGAAACGCAGGATTCTTTCTCGCTGACGCGACACAATGAAAGATCAGGGGGCCGATTGCGACAACAAGCTCATTGATTCTGTTGCTCCCAAGAATTACGAAGCGAAATCGAGATGGATAAGGATTTCACGACCCCGACACTGCTGTATTGAATCGCACTGGGCCTTCGCCTCCAACAGCAGATGTACCTCTTACTTTACAATGTCTGTCCTCTATAAAGGCTAAGACCTGGGTGGGCGACGTTAAGTTCGCCGTTGCTCAGGGACTCCGGAATTAGCGGGAAGACCCCCTGCGGGAGGCATTCCTGGCGAAGATCCCAACGAATGGCCCGTGATTGAATTGCTGACAGAAGTTAATGGACTCTTCGCTGGCCCTCCAGGCTGGCGCAGGAGCCGTCCGACAGCGTTCATGGAGCATGGCTTTACGCGCGACCTTCTGGTGCCCTGCGTCGCGCTCATGTACGAGACTCTTGGCGCGGACGTCCTGGACAAGTTTCCGGACTCGCTATCGTCGAAACATATGATTTGTTGGGAGGCGGTATCGGATGTAGATTTGTCGGTGCGATCTCTCGCCTTCCCAAGCGTTTCACATTCGGAACGTGGATTGAACTCATGGAGGAC